CAAAAATGGGTAGAAGACCTAAATAGACATTTCTCCAAAGAAGACATACAGATGGCCAAGAAGCACATGAAAAGCTGCTCAACATCACTAATTATTAGAGAAATGCAAATCAAAACTACAATGAGGTATCACCTCACACCAGTTAACATGGGCATCATCAGAAAACCTACAAACAACAAATGCTGGAGAGGGTGTGGAGAAAAGGGAACCCTCTTGTACTGCTGGTGGGAATGTAAAGTGATACAGCCACTATGGAGAACAGTATAGAGGTTCCTTGAAAAACTAAAAATAGAATTACCATATGACCCAGCAATCCCACTACTGGGCATATACCCAGAGAAAACCATAATTCAATAAGACACATGTACCCCAATGTTCACTGCAGCACTACTTAAAATAGCCAGGTCATGGAAGCAACCTAAATGGACATCTACAGATGAACAGATAAAGGAGATGTGGTACATATATACGATGGAATATTACTCAGCCATAAAAAGGAACGAAATTGGGTCATTTGTAGAGACAGGGATGAATCTAGAGACTGTCATACAGAGCGAAGTCAGAAAAACAAATATCGTATATTAACACATGTATGTGGAACCTAGAAAAATGGTACAGATGAACCGGTTTGCAGGGTAGAAACTGAGACACAGATGTAGAGAACAAATGTATGGACACCAAGGGGGGAAAGCTGTGGGGAGGGGGGTGGGGCTGTGATGAAATGCAAGATTGGGATTGACATATATACACTAGTATGTATAAAATGGATAACTAATAAGAATCTGTTGTATAAAAAAATAAAATTCAAAAATTCAAAAAACAAAACTACAGGACATCGATGAAAGAAATTGAATATGACACAGACAGAAAGATACACTGTGTTCATGGACTGGAAGAATTAACATTATTCAAATGACCATACTATCCAAGGAAATCTACATACCAATCTAATCCTTAACAAAATATCAATGGTATTTTTCACAGGACTAGAACTAATTCTAAAATTTGTATGGAAACACACACACACACAAAAACCTGAACAGCCAAAACAATCTTGAGAAAAAAGAACAAAGCTGGAGGTCTCACGCTCCTTGGTTTAAACTATACTACAAAGCTAGTCATCAAAATAGTATGGTACTGCCACAAAAACAGACACATAGATCAATGGAACAGAATACAGAGTCCAGAAAGAAACCCACACACTTATGGTCAATTAATCTATGACAAAGGAGGCAAGAATGTACAATGGGAAAAAGACAGCCTCTTCAATAAGTGGTGTTGAGAAATCGAGACAACTATATGCAAAAGAAACTGGACTAGGCTCTCACACCATTCACTAAAATAAATTCAAAATAGATTAAGGACTTAAATGTAAGACCTGAAACCATAAAACTTCTAGAAGAAAACAGGTAGTTTGCTGTTTGACATTGGTCTTAGTGATTTTTTTTTTTTTTGGATATGTGTCCTCAGGCAAGGGAAACAAAAAGCAAAAAATCAACAAATGGGACTACATCAAACTAAAAAGCTTTTGCACAGCTAAAGAAACTATCAACAAAATGAAAAGACAACCTATTGAATGGGAGAAGATACTTGCAAATGATATATTTGATACGGGGTTAAAACCCAAAATATACTGATATAAAGAAGTCATACAACTAAGCATCAAAAAAACAATCCTATTAAAAAATGGGCAGAAGACCTTAACAGACATTTCTCCAGAGAAGACATACAGATGGCCAACAGGTACATGAAAAGACGCTCAACATCCCTAATCATCAGGGAAATGCAAATCAAAATCACAATTGAGATACGCCTCACACCTGTCAGAATGGCTATTATCAAGAAAACAAATAAGTGTTGGTGAGGAATCCTTGTACATTGTTGGTGGGCATGTAAATTGCTGCAGCCATTACAGAAAACAGTACGGAGTTCCCTCAAAAAACTAAAAACATAGCTACCATATGATCCAGCAATCCCACTCCAGTGCATACATCTAGAAAAAACCAAAGGCACTAATTCAAAAATTTACATGAAGCAGGACTTCGCTGGTGGTGCAGTGGTTAAGACTCCACACTTCCAACGCAGGGGTCACAGGTTCAATCCCTGGTCAGAGAACTAAAATCCCACATGCCTTGTGGTGCAGCCAAAAAAAAAAAAGGTACATGCACCCCAACGTTCACGGCGGCACTGTTTACAACAGCAAATATATGGAAGTAACCCAAGTGTCCATTAGCAAACAATGGGTAAAGAAGATGTAGTACACACAAACACACACACACAGAATATTAGCCATAAAAAAGAATAAAATCGTAACATTTGCAACAACATGTATGGACCTAGAGAGTATTATGCTAAGTGATAAGTCAGACAGAGAAAGACAAATACTTTTACTTACAAGTGGAATCTATAAAACGAACACAACAAAACAGAAAGTTATAGATACAGAGAACAGGTGGTTGCCAGAGAGAAGGGAGGTGAAAGGAGGAAAGAAATAAGTGAGGGACATTAAGAGGTACAAACCTTCAGTTGCAAAGTATTTAAATGAGTCATGGTGTAAAATTTACACTGTGTGGATTATAGGCAATAACTATGTAATACCTTTGCATAGCAACATATCATAACGAGACTTACTGTGGTAATCATTCGAAAATGTATAGAAATACCAAACCACTCTTGTATAACATGAACTAACAAATCAATAGTACTGTAGGTCTTTCTACTTACAAAAAAACCAAATAAACAGAAAAAGAGATCAGATTTTTGTTTACCAGAGGTGGGGAGTCGGGGGAGAGGGAAATGGATAGAGGCAATAAAACGGTACAAACTTCCAGTTATAAGTACTAAAGATATAATGTACAACATGATATATATAATTAACAGTGTGGTATGTTATATATGAAAGTTAAGAGAATAAACCCTGAGTTGTCATCACAAGAACAAAAAATTTTGTCTTTAGTGTTGTATCTATGAGATAATGTTCACTAAACTAATTGTAATAATTTCATGAATGTAAACAAGTCAAATCATTATGCTGTACACCTTAAACTTATACAATACTCTATGTCAATTACCTCAATACTGGAAGAAAAAACTCATTATTATGGGAAAATTGCCTATAAGATCCAATAATCACATTTTTTAAACAATTCTTACACATTTAATCTTTTATTTGCAAATCAATAAAACGTATGCTACACCTAAAAATTTAGACAATCAAGACTGCATTAGTAATGCATATATATATGGTGAATGAAACTATTTGCACCGATTTGAATGTCTTGTAAACAGCAGAATCATTGAATAATATACAGTTGTCCCTCAGTATCCATGGTGGATTGGTTCCAAGATGCACCCCCCCAACCCCGGGACACCAATATCTTCGATGCTCAAGTCCCTTATATAAAATGATATGGTATTTGCATATAACCTATGCACATCCTCCCATATACTTTAAATCTCTAGATTCAAACACCTGACACAATGCAAATGCTATGTAGTTGCCAGTGCACAGCAAATTCAAGTGTTCTTTTTGAAACTTTCTGGAATCTTTTTCCTGAATATTTCCAAACCAGTGGTTGGTTAAATCCATGGATGCTGAATCCACAGGTATGGAGGGCTGACTATACAGTGTTTATAATCTCATTTTTATTTCTCTGTCCTCAGAGAGGATCAATTCTACTTAGTTCTAGTTGAAGTATTATAAATCCCAAATTAATAAAGCTTTACTTTATTTGAGGACCACTCTTTGGCTAAGGTGCTGATCCCTTCAGCCATTACTTACATATCTATATATGGGTAAGTCATATGTGTGTGTGGTTTTTGTTTTTAAAGTTTAATACAATGTTCTGTAACTGGCACACAAACTTGCTGTGCAAAATTATCCCTCAGTTCTGTTCTAAACTCATAGCTCAGTTAATTTTATTGTCCTCACCAGAGAATGTACGACTGACATATATGGGAGAAATACACTGGGACCTTAAATCAAAGTTGTTATTTTCCACTATTTTGTTGAAGATTTAATATAAATCAAGATGTTAATCTATACAGTTTGAGAGTTATTTCAGAATTTTATGTTCTGATCTCATCATTCTTATAGGATGTCATTCTTATAATTTTTGGACAATTTAGAGAAGTTAGAACAATTTCAGCTAGTATAAAAACAAACAGTCCTTCTGTTTATTATATCCCTTACCATATCAAAGAGACTGGAGAATGAGAAATATATAAGTGCTACTTACATAGCACCAAAACGATCTACCTATTTCTTTTATCTAGAAAGAATACGGTAAGTCCCCTGCAACGAACGAGTTCAGTTCCGAGAGCCCGTTCGTAAGACCAATTTGTTCATAAGTCCAACAAAATTAGCCTAGGTACCTAACACAACTAACACAATCGGCTACATAGTACTGGACTGTAATAGGTTTATAATATTTTCACACAAATAATACATAAAAAACAAACACAAAAAATAAAGAAAACATTTTTAATCTTACAGTACAGTACCTTGAAAAGTACAGTAGTACAACAGCTGGCATACAGGGGCTGGCATCAAGTGAACAGGCAAGAAGAGTTACTGACTGAAGGAGGGAGAAGAGGTGGGAGATGACAGAGCTGAAGGATTGTCAGCAACAGGAGATGGAGGGCAAGCTACAATTTCACTCACACCTGACGTTGATGGCACAGGTTCTGGTTCCTTGCTGGATTCAATTCTACCTACCCTCTTGAAAAAACGATCCCATGATGTCTGGGTAGTAGCTCTTTTTTTCTCCTCATAGATAACACGGTAGCACTGGATTGCATTCTGAACGGCTGCTGCAACCTTCGTGTACCACTCTACGTTCGGGTCCTGTGCCTCAAAAACTAACAGTGCCTCCTCAAATAAAGAAAAAACCCTTGCCATTTTCTGCATCGTGAATCTCTTTGGTTCTTCTGTTACTTCTTCCTCTTGTCACTCCACTCTCAATTATTTTCACTTTTGTTTCCATCAGCAGTATCAGCTACATCACTGCTGCTTTTATGCTTGCTTCCAGACATCCTGGGCTTGAAATAAAGATACTATACTACTGTACTCTACACAGTAAAGTACACAAAAGCACAACCATTTGTAGGGGATGCACGCACGTGACAACGTACTCCACTCACGTGAACTTTCGTGATTGGACATGCTAGCTCACATTCGCATCTTTGAAAGTTGGCAATTTGAAGGTTCGTATGTAGGGGACTTATTTTAAGAGGCTCTGAAAGACTAGAGAAACTAAGGATTGGAAAGTTTAAGAGTATGTAAAATTTAAATATTAAATCTTTCACACGAACTTTTCCTCCTTACATGAAAGGTACTGAATAAGTTACATTTAAATGTCCTACTTATATATTTTTTAAAAGGTCAGATACTTCTCATTTAAGAGAAAGTGGAAATTATTTTAAATAACGAGCGGTAGGAATTTCCCTGATGGTACAGTGGTTAAGACTCTGCACTACCACTGCAGGGGGCGCAGGTTTGATCCCTGGCTGGGGAACTAAGATCCACATGCAGAGCAGTGCAGCCCAAAAAAAAAAAAAAAGGGGGGGTAGAGGGGTAAAGGATGAACTCTATATCCAATCCAAATTACATTAAAACCCAAATATAAAATATCAACAGAAGGGGCATTTTCCTAAAAGGAAGTAACTATTCATTATTGGGAGAAATCTACATGTAGTAAGATACTTTCTTGCTTTGATACAGCTAAAAAAATAAAAATAAATTTCATGTCTAAATTTTGGGGCTTATATAGTTAGAAATATATAATTCTACTTTTATAGGTAGTTCAACTAGGGGAAATAAGTTAGCACAATCATTTGAATTGGTTGTCTGCATACGGGGCAGGGCTTATTCCTTTTCTTTAGCTTCTTTGCACATGTAAAGCATGCCATAAGATGTCCTGTTTTGCCATGGACTATGCAACCATTTTTAGGTCGACCTTGGCAAATCACACAAGGTTCAATGGCATTAAGAGGAAAACTAGATTCCACATTTTCTTCTTTGTCTTGTGTTTCTTCCCTCTCCAACTCTTTGACATCTTCTTGGCTACTATAAATGATACTATTAGATGTTGATGGCTGAGAATAGTCCTCACTTTCTTGGGATAGGGAGGCTTGTGTGATCTTATCATCATTTTCCTCAACACATGATTCTTTGGAATCATTCACTGTAGATTTCTTACAGTCAGGGACATCAAAGCCCTCTTCTACTTGTGCTGAGTTTTCTAGTTTGGCTTTCTCAGACATTTTCCCTTTATCTTTCCCTTTATCTTCAGGAAGCCAATTTTCACGAAGGGCCCAACATCTGTTGCAATGAGGTGGAAGGGGAGGATTCATTTCACTGCATGAAGTACATTTCCAATAGTCCTTCAAGGAAACAAGACAGTTAGCTTCCGTAACCCTTCAATAACCAGTCACAGCAACGCTAGCAACTTGTTCAATATGTCTAAGGTAAAATGTATCATACAGCTCAATTTTCAGCATTTCATGTCTTATATAAAGCACTCAACAGTCTTTCCTCAAGCATGAGCTTGTAAATACATTTTTTTCCCAGCCAAACTATGCTAAGAATTCTAAAATGAAAAACGTATTCACCATGACCTTAACCATGTACCTGTAAAGTTATCTGTTCAAGGACAGAGTTGGTTCATTTAGCTGAAGCAAGTGCTATGGGATCTTCTCTGTAATGAAGCCTGTACCCACTCCACTCCCTTAAAGGCTCAAACCTGATACTGTGCCCAGTCCACCAAATCAATCTAGACAAAACTATCAACCAGTCTGCCATTGACTAAGACTCTCTTAGAAGTGCTCTAAAACCAGGGCTCAACTGGGTGTTCCCTAACTACACCCACAAAGGAAATGCTAAAACATTCTTTTCAGCAATCACAGCCAGATAAACTCTGCCATCCTTGTCACTATCCAGAATGTATGCCCCTTACTTGTCTATCCTTTTCTGTCTTCTCGTCTCTGTAACTGCTCATTGCTTCATCCTTATTCCAACTTATTTCTCAAACCTTTCCACCCACTATGCAATCTGGATAACAAATTCCCTCACATTCCAAGCCTCTTTACTGAACATATCCCTTATCTCCCTGCCTTACGAGAAGCATGGTTCTTGCCTGAGGACACTGTGCGTGTAAAACTTGCCATAAGAGGTCCTTCCTATCTTGCCATGAATAATGTAACCATTTTTAAGTTGCCTGACAAATGACGTAAGATATTAGCAATAAGGGTGGAAACTTCATTCTCCCACAATGGTTCTTTCAAGTTGTAAAAGCAGGTATCTACTAAATGATAAAACCAAAGACAGGTCTTGTAATACAGGAAGAAAGTGCTTCAAGAGTCCGATAAATTACAAGATCTATGTCTAAAACATTTCACTCAGCCTGACATCAAATGACTCAACTAGTTACTTGAATTATTTTCTAATATAGCAAAATATTTTCCTAAGATTTTACAATTTCTCCTCCTTTTTAGTATTTGGATAATTAATAATTGTTTCTATCTCAGAAAGAGAAAACTGAGATTTCCTATCCAAATATAACAAAAAGCAGTATTTAAGAACAAAAATTAAAGCAATAATATTTGGTTAAAAAAACACACATCCAATACCTGAGGAACCCTGTGAAGCATGAAATGTAAATGTTTAAGTCCAGATTTCTTTAATAGAAAATCCCACCACATATTCTAATACAAGTCAATATGATATTCATATTTGATAAGATTGGCAAAATATTGGTAACTGTTAGACCTGAGTGATAAGTACAACGGAGATACATTATACTATTCTCTATGCTGTACATACCCAAAATTTTCCATAATGAAGTTCTTCAAAAGTTCAAATTCCAACACAAAAAAACTAAAAAGTATAGCAACAGATCCCAACCCAATAAAAGAACAAAAATATTTTAAACCATTAAAACTTAAAAAATAAATGTTAACTTTATAAAAACTACCTCATGTCAAGAAGTAGACTAGACATATTTTTCTAATCTTGACTTCAATGTTATTTTTTGATTCCTTGAAAAAGTAAATGTATACTTACAGCTAAGGAAATTTCAGGATCTTCTTCAAATGAATCTGTATCACTCTCCCCTGCCTGATACACAGTAACTCGATATACCTAAGAAAAAGAAAAACAAAAGAAACATTAGCATCAATTCACCTTTTTTCTTCAACCAGTAAGGCTTCTTAGTGATAAGTGATAAGTCCTAAACAAACAACATGTACTCAGTCATCCCTCCGTATCTGTGGGCAGACTGGTTCCAGGACCCATAAAGATACCTAAATCTGCAGATGCCCAAGTCCCTTATGTAAGATGGCATAGTATTTGCATACAATCTATGCACATCCTCCCCTACACTTCAAATCATCTCTAGATTACTTATAATACCTAATAAATGCTATATGAAAAGTTTTAAATACAACGTAAATGCTATGTAAATAGCTGATGGCCCACAGCAAATTCAAGTTTTGCATTTTGGAACTTCTTGGAATTTTTTTTTTTTTTTACTCGAATATTTCCAAGCTGCACTTGGTTGAATCCACCAATGTGGAACTCGCAAATACGGGGGTCCAATTATGTTATATATGAGATATCTGAGACAAAGGTGCCATGGAATGAGTGAATATAAAGGGGGAGAAATGGAGGATGGTAAAATCCTCACCCACTATGGTAAAAAGCCAACATACAGGAATGTTTAAAATAAATAAAGTAAAACATTCAGTACAAGCATTTTTGTTTTATAAATATGGAAGTATTAAATTACAGTGAAATAGCTAGAAATGCTGAAGCTGGTCACTTCCAGGAAACAGATCTGGTGGTAGTATGTGACTTTTAACTGCATGCATGCTTTACTTTTTCATAAATTAAAAATGAAAAAGGAGAATTGAATTAAATATTTTTAAAAACGAGTAGACTATTATAAGAATGCTCATTAAGGCCTACTGACTTCTTGACATTACATTTTAAAAAATATAAATAAGACAACAAGGAATTACAAAGCCTCAAGTCCACAAACCAATATTCTAGTTTGAATAAATCAAGAGTCAAAGATTGTGATGTGAAATTTGAATACATTATTATTTCAATCTCATCAGTCAACGAATATGGAAAGTATTTAAGAACTTTAGAATGTAATCAGAGAAAAAAAAACTACCTCATCATCTTCATCTGAGAGTTCTTGTCCTTCTTCACTAAGGCTATAATCTTCTGAATCCAGAGACTCAACTTCAAATTCTACACTGAATTGATCTGAAACTGAATCCTGATCCAACCAATCACCTGAATGTTCACTTACACCAGCATCAAGATCCTAAAATAGAGGGGGAAAAAAAGCGACTTAATGTACATTACCTGTTGGCCTGTAACAGCTTAACTTCCCTGTGCACCTAATTCCCCCTCAGTTCCATCCTGCACACTGACACTAGGTTAAGCTTCTGGGTTATGATTAGATAAATATTTTCTCTGTTCAAAACCCCATTATATAAAAGAAAAGGCCAAATTCCCTTGGTATTCAAGGTACATACAGGAAGTCTATATTAACATTTTCATATTATCTCCAACTAGACACCCCCCTATCCCCACTAAACAAGAACATTAACCAGATCTAGACTGTTTCCTAAACCAAACTTCAACTTCCACACCTTCCCTCTAGCTGGAATAACTTGATAGTTTTCAAATTCTGCTCATCCTTTTTTGCCAAAGCCTTTGTCAATACTGTAACTAAAAGAGCACTCCCCACCTTTAATTATCTGTGCTACTTATATTATTATATATTTGCACACACAAATTTTGCAAAACATAATTTTGTACACGTTTCTTATCTGAATTATACATACTTTAAGAGTTAAGACCATGTCTCAATCATCTTTATATCTTCCAACTGGTAGAATGCTAGTAGCTACAACATATACAATAATTATGATTTATGTTTAATGAACTTTGAGAATAATTTCTTTGGAAGAGCTTTCAGATATAATTTTTTAAATCTATTTTTAAAATTCTGTGTCTGCTCATGTGATTCATTTTAAAACTGATTAACAGTATAAGAACCTAAGAGAACCTTCAGTCCCATAATATTTGCCATCAGTGGCTAAGGGTAGGAACATACACAAAGCAGAGGGCTAGAACTAGAAAAAGTATTTTGGTCTAGTAGTCAGGATACATACATTCTTATTCTAGATTTGCCACTAAGTAACTTTCAACCTAGACATATTTAGCTTGTAAAGGCCACAGCTATTTCATCTATGACACATGAGTTTGGATTAAATGATCTCTAATATTCCCGTCATTTATAAAAACAAAAACAAGGTATTTATTTTACAACCACTTAGGTCAAAAGACTGTTTTAAACCATGATGATAGGAAAGTAGTAGTAAAAGCAACATTCATTGAACTGCAGTTCTAATTCCTAAAACAAAGGCTGTATTAACAATCACATTAAAATCACAAGTCAAGCTAGAATACAATAACAGCTCTAATAACCTAAGAAACTGGACACTTCAATTAACTAGGCTTTAGTGTACTATGTTTAGAATAAGGGGGTAAAAATCACAATAAACATTAAGTTTCAGAAAGCATCTTCTATGGCAGGAGTCAGCAAACTGTGCCTCACCACCCATCTATTTTTATAAATAAAGTTTTACTGAACACACCCGTGCCCGTTGTCTATTAGACTTGTTGTCTATGGCCGTTTCTGCCTCACAGCCATAGAGTTGAGTAGCTGAAACAGATACCATATGGCCTGCAAAGCCCCAAACAGTTACTATCCATCTCCTTACAGAAAAAGTTTGCCCACTCCTATTCTAGGGTTCTATGAAGAAAGCAAAATTAAAAGTCGTTTTCAGGACTTCCCTGGTGGTGCAGTAGTTAAGAATCCGCCTGCCAGTGCTGGGGACACGGGTTCGAGCCCTGGTCCAGGAAGATCCCACATGCTGCAGAGTAACTACGCCCGTGCGCCACAACTACTGAGCCTGCACTCCAGAGCCCGTGAGCCACAACTACTGAAGCCCGCGCACCTAGAGCCTGTGCTCCACAACAAGAGAAGCCACGGCAATGAGAAGCCCGCACATAGCCCCAGCTCGCCGCAACTAGAGAAAGGCCTCGCACAGCAGTGAAGACCCAACGCAGCCAAAAATAAACAAATAAATAAATTTAAAAAAAAAAGTTTTCAAAAGTTTAGCTAATGTTCAAAAAAGAAAAACTTAAAAACTCTTAAATACTGTATATTTAAAAAGTATCAGACAGGCTTGATCTGGAAAGATCTTAAAATCCCTGTTTTTCTGAATTCCAATTGTGACAATTATTAGTTACGTGATCTTAAACAAGTTATTTGAAACACCCAAGTCTTAGTTTTCCCATCTATAAATGGAGTTTGAGGCTGCTGAGGTGATAAAATATGTTAATTGCCTGGTATAGAGCCTAGAATATAGCCTTAGTTCCCCCAATGTATTAAACCCAAAAGAAAGAAAAGATGGGAGGCAAATGCACTTTCCTTTAACTCCCTTCACAAATTGGTGAATGACAAGACCAAATAATGTGACGTAAGCTAAAATGAAGGAAAAAAATTAGCCTTACCAAAAGCTTTCACAACTAGGGACTTTGCCTCAAAAACTATAGATCTTTAACAGAGAGGATTTTTAGAAGAGAGCGTAGAATAGGACTAACAAAAAGAAATACCCTCTATACTGCTTTGATAACAAGGCAGTGTCCCAGGTAGAAAGAACAAGGACTTTTAATACCATTTAGCTAGAATTCTGAAACAACTGTAATAAAGACTGTAAGTTTAAATGGCGCATAGTCGTTGTATTAAAACCATTTGTAAGGAATAAAATTATCCAAACATGAAGTTGGTGACACATCAAGTTTTATTTAATTGGATTCAATTTTTAGATCACACATATTTGTTCTCAAGAACCTGTATTTTTTTCATAGCATTTGTTCAGTATTTTAATTATTTGTTTGATTGCTGATGACCTATCTCCCAATGAGGGCAGGGATCATAACTACCTTGACCACCACTGTATCTCCAGTGCCAAATGGAACCTGGCATAGAAAAGACACAAATATCTACTGAATGAAGAACTTGCTCTTGGAGGAGCTCACCATGCCATCTAGTGGCCTACATGAGTAACAGCTCTATTAAGTACTAACTCCAGAAGGCACCTCTGCATCCATAAAATCACTGCTTTGGAAGAAAAAAATGTAAAGATAATAAAGAATAATACATAAAAAGAATATGGTTACTATCACATTTGGTTCAATCCTTTACATCTTCTAGAGAACTATAAAATAATCACTAATATCCAGAATAATCGCCATGAAATGTTGCCATATCACAAATAAAGATTCCAATTTTAATAACATTTTAAAGACAAATGTGTAATGACAAGAAAGAAAACATTCCATTTGTCAAGCATTCTTGTTAGCAAAAACTTCTTTACAAAACCTCCTTCAGTGATATCTCTTAAGAATGTTAATGCTGGCAAATACTTTGGAATTTTGTATCAATGATCAAAAAGTACTGATACTTTCCCATCATGCATGCAATAATATACCAATATTTCACAGCCTTATTAAAAAGACCTTCCCTGATGTCTAGACCTACGTATGGCAAATGTAGATATAAGGCTATGTTCACTTATTTGCTGAGAGCTGTAACAAGATATATTTACTCTAAATATGCAAAACAAAATTGCTTAGAATCTTAAGATATCTTTGGTGCCGTGGCCCACAAAGGTTCTCCAATATGTAGGGTGACATTAATAACTAACATAGGTACTAATTTTACCAACACACTCCAGCGCAACTCCATTATCTTCCACCCTTCTCCGCAAACCCGGGGTTGGGAGTGGGGAAGATCTATACAGTTTCATTTGAAAGAAAATTTTACCAAGTGTATAGCAGCAATCAAGCAGCAATCACATATCATACATGTGCATTCTATCTGGACGCTTATTAGGACTGCCAGAACTAGACTAAAAATAAGAGAGTCCTGTTTTATTTAAAATGAGAGGCTTACCGGATTTGATGGAGTCCCTGTCGATTCACTGCTACTGCTTCTTTCACAACATATCTCCCTTATTACACACAGAGCAAGGCTTTCATCAAAGGAAAGGGAAATATTATCAGATTTGTGGCGCTTTCTTTGTCGTTCACCAGGTAATTCATCTGAATTTTCTTCTGAATATGTAAAGAAAAACAAGTTAATTAAATTGCTATACTATAATGTATTTAGAAATTGAGCTGTCTTAAGTTACCTATCTGTACTAAAATTGTTTCAATGAAATTAAACAGAGAAAAATAGTGAATTACTACTGTTTCAAAAGTCAACACTCTTATTGGATCTGTCCAACTTAGAGTTATAGCAGAACACTACATTTTTAAAAGCTTTAAAGCTTGTTTCAGAACTTTATCAACTCACAATTAATTTAATCCATCTAGACCTTTTATTAACCAGTCTATGATTTTTCTGTCAAAATCAGAATTTAGGATATAAGATTTCACTTTTTTTCCTGGAAAGAACCAACTGTTTAACTTACTTAGAAGGTATTCCTAATGTTTCAATTTCCTTAGTATCCAGTATTTTCAACAGGAATCAAAACCAGTTAAAACTGGTCCATTTTATTTTATTTATTTTTTGGCCGCACGGCATGAGGGATCTTAGTTCTCCAACCAGGGATCGAACCTGCACCCCCTGCAGTGGAAGCACGGAGTCTTAACCAGTGGACGGCCAGGAAGTCCCTGGTCCATTTTATTTTAAATAAGAAATTATCTCTGACTTAAAGTGAGAATGTTACCAAATCTGTCAGGAACATAAATGAAGAGTCCTACCTTACACCAGACATAAAAATGAATTCCAAGTGGATTAAAATACCAAATACAAGGAACAAAACCATCCAACTACTTATGTAAGAGAATATACCGGGGTGGGAAAGTATGATGTGACACTACAAAGCCCTCAAGAAAAAGACTATCAAGATTAAGTTAGTTACTTAAGGCTTACATGGCAAAATAAAATACTATAAAAAAGAAGTTAAAAGGCAAATGTCAGACTGAAAAAAAATCTGCAACACATAATAAAAAATGATTAATACCCACTTTATATAAAGACCTCCTACCAACCAAGTAAAAGACAAACTTAATTTAAAAAAGAGTCAAAGATATGAATGGGCAATGCATAAAACACAAAAGACTAATAAACATGAAAAATGGCTTACCTCTCAGTGATCAAGGAAATGCAAATTGAAATGAGATACCATGTTTCACTCATGAGAATGACAAATTAAAATGAGAGACAGTCTCAGAGATTTGGGAGAAAGGACTTTTTATACACTACTGGTAAAAACGCAAAACAGTGTAACATTTTATGGGCAGTTTCTCTATCCTAGACAAATATCTGCATAATCATTTAAGGGTTTATGAGCAAGGGTGCTCACTGCAGCCTTATATGTTAAGTATCTAACAGGGTTATGAGATTAAATAAAATATAATCCATATGCCTGAAACAGGTACAACTCACACCTTTGCTCACTCCATTTCCCTCTCTTGATCTTCCTAGTCAGAAGTTATCTCTTCTTGCTCTGAATTCCCAAAACACGCTTATATCCTCTAATTTTGTATTTATCTCTACAAGATCACAAGTTCTTGATATAAGTTCTTAATGTTTGTATTCCCTATAAGAAAAGGTGATCTTGGTTGAAAGATGAGGGCTAGAAGGCCAAAACCATGCTGTTGATCTATATTTTTTAACTCTATTAATAACATTTGGGGCTTTTTTCTGATTATTAAAGTATTGTATTACTCACAGTAGAAATCTTTAAAAAACAGACAAAAATTTAAATGTAAATCATCTATAATATTACCATTGAGATAACTACTAATAACATTTTAGCATAATAATTTTCCAGCTGTCATTTAAAAAATTTACTTCCGTCTAAAAAACATATTTATATCACACTATATGTACAATTTGGGGTTGTTTTCTTTTTTTTTTTTTTGGCCGTACCACATGGCTTGCAAGATCTTAGTTCCCCACCCGGGGATCAAAACCAGGCCCCTGCAGTGAAAGCACTGAGTCCTAACCACTGGACTGCCAGGGGTTTCCCAGGGGTTGTTTTCTCTTAAACATTCTTTTACATTACTTTTAATGGCTGCAGAATATGGTATCCATAATATAGGTTCATCATAATTGAACCATTCAGTCCACAAATCCGAGCACCTTCTTTCTGTCTGGCACAGTGCGAGGCAGTGGGTATACAAAAATGAAGTCAGCCATCATCCCTACCACCAGAGGAAGTTTACGTCCAAACATCAAGGCAACCAAACTACGATCATTTACAAGCTATAATGAGTGCTATGAAGGAAACAAGCAGGGTGCTAAGGGAAAGAATAACAAGAGGGGATCCACTTTTCCAGGTGGTTAGGGACAGCCTCTCTGAGAAAGTAATAATTAAGCAAAAATGGAAAAATGAGGAGCTGGTCTTACAAGACTGAGGTAGAAGAACTTCTGGCAGAAAAAACTGTGCAAACAGCCTTACAGCAGGAAAGAATTCTGACTTGTTTGAGAAACCAATCAGTGCAGTTAAAACACAGTGAAGGTGGGGAAAAAGGCCAAAACCCAGATTAAAGGTAGAACAGGGCCTTGTAAGCCAACATAAAAGTGTGGGTTTTATTTGAAGGTCAATGGTAAATAAACAAAGTGGGGAAGTGACACAATCCAATTTACCTTTTATGATCCCTTTTGGTACTGTGATGAAGGACAGAAAGAGCAAGTAACTAGAAACAGAAAATCAGAAGCTGCTGCAGTGGTCTCGGTAAGAGATGACAATGGCCTGGACTAGAGTGATGACATTCTCTAGCATCATATATGTTTTCAACTATGAATAATGCTATAATTAATATCTCTACATATAATCTTTGCATTTCTGATTATATCCTTAGGATAGATTCCTAGAAATGGATTACTGTGATAACGGTAAGAAAGCCAAGCCTTTTTATAATTCATAAAGGTTAACCAATTTACACGAATTGATACACCAACAGTGCATCAGTGCCAACACATAGTTAGCAAGGATAAGTTAAAAAAAAAATCATCTTTCCTAATTTGAAAGACCAGAAAAGACACCTTTTTTGCATTTTTTGTTATCTATAAAGCTAAATCACTAAAATCCACTCCTCCTCATATTTATCAGTCATTTCTATTTACTATGAAAAACAATTTTTTTACAAGTTGGATTTTTAATATTTTTCTTATTGACTTTTGGAAACTTATAAGGATATTAACACTGTCAAATTTAAAGTGAATCTATTTCAGTATGTTGTAATTTTTTTCATTTATCTTTTCAACTCATTTAGTATTCATTTTGGCATAAGGCACAGATATAATTTGATTTTTTTCCCCCCCAAATAACCATTTGTTCTACTCCCATGTATTTACTCTGCACTTGCTGCCCTTTGCCCTCATGTACAAAACTCTACTCTGGATTTATCTATTCTACTTCACTGATTTGCCAAACTCTTTTTTCTCTACCGAATCATACAGTTTTAGTTATCATGACTTTCATCAGGCAACAGCCTCCTCCTGTTTTCTCTGTTAAAAATGCTCTCATCTATTTTCTTTACCTCGTCCTCATTTCTAAGATGCTATTTCTCTGTTCTTAAACTCACTGGTGTGTTTTATTTATTAGAAAAAACAAATACTTTAACTGTTAAGGTGACTAAGAATGATGACTAAAATAGAGTTTATATCCTTGTCCTCTGTTACCACGCATAGCAAAAAGCTGGCTAACTATAAAATCCAGCAGGACACAGTAAAATTGTGCCTGCTATAGTCAACCAGAAAAATGTTGCTAAGAAAGCAATTTTTAAACCAAATAAATCATATAAAAATAAGAAACTCAAATTCATCTAAACCAAAAAAGCACAATTTCATTAACCCTAAATGTACTAATTTCAGTAAAGAATGAACACTGAAAAGCTGTTTGAAAGTGCCAATTAAATATTCATATATACCTGTCTCACTAACTGCTCTCCTTCTAGATGAGGTAGATGGTCTAGAAACCAAATCTGAAGATGAAGGTTTCTCTTCCTGTAGCTCTTGCACAAGGTCCTAAGCATTCAAGGGAGAAAAAAACAAAAAAAAACCCACAAACTTATAACACCAAGAAGCTAAAAATTCATTGTTTTAAACACTCCCAATTTCCAAGAAACATCATAGTAGAATGAGTTCAAGATTACCTTTTGAACACTCCCACCTTCAAGGTGACACCTGTTTTCACTCACAGATGTGCCTGAATCTGATGGTTCTGACAGAAAATAAAAACAAAGAATCACAAACTAGGAAAGCAAGGGTTATTCAATAGATGTTATCCAGAACAAACTCCTCATACAATTTAACCTTTTAACCAACACTGAACGTGTAGTCTCCAAGTGCCATCCTGTGCTGAATACTAGAGACGTAAATAGATAATTCAATTTTAATATAGAAGATACATAAGAATAGTTATAAAGTACAATAAAATAAGCACACTAAAAGAAGTATTATAAGATAAGTTAATGGAGAAGACGAAGCAATGGTTATTTGGTAGAGATGCGGTAAGGTCTGAGTAACAAGGAATCAGGAGAGGTTTCATAGTAGAATATGTGGAAGTACGACTGGGAAAGGCTATTCCAGACTGAGGAAACACTGTGAAAAAAGCATTCAGAAGTGAACTACCAGTGTTTGTTGCAGGAACTACAGATACTTCATTACTATGGGAATGTAAGCAGGATCATAAAGGATCCTGCCTGTCTTGCTAAACAGCACAAAGATATCAAGAATCAATATTCCTGCCACCAATCCCAAATCACTGCATCCTCCCCAGCTAATACTTCACATTCCTCCCTAAGGCACTGCTGCAGCCACGCACCATTAAAAAGGTTTAATCTAAGAGATAAAATTGATTTGCTAGTTCACAGCAAGTATTTTACCCAGCGAGCAATAAGGAACCCCTAAATGGTCACTATAAGCAGAAGAGTGACAACTCCCTCTACCAAAATAGAAGAAAAAGAGAACAGAGGCAGGGAAACCAGTATTAGCAACTGCAATAACATAAATGAAAAGCATTAAAGTCTAAACTAAGACATGGAAAAAAAGATCAATTCCAGAGAAATTAAAAAGGTAAAAACCAACAAGAACCTGGTGTCTGACATACAAGGCAAAGGAGAAAGGAGTCAAGAATTCCAAGATTCTACCTTGGGTGGATAAATGGGTGGTATAATTCAAAACTTCAGATGATGAACAGATTTGGATGGGAAGATAAACTGAAAAGTGGATAAAACTTTCAGGTAGGTAGGTTTAGTCCGTATGTAGATGTACAGACTTGGAGCTCAAGTCAAAATTTCAGATGTGGGGTATATACCATCACCTAAGGTCATAATCAAATACCTTTTACTACTCCCTTGGAAACATTTTCGTCTTAACACTGAAGCCCGGTCTGAGTATTAACATTTTGAAATTATATGCATTATCATAACAGTTTATTTATTTTTTATATTATGGGCAAGGTATTATACTGATTTAAGCTGTCCATATAAATAGGTTATATTTTGTTTTAGTATAAGAGATGTTACAAAACAGATGTAATAAAAAGGAAGCACTAAGTGTGACAAGTTTGAGAACAATGATACAGGAGTTCTGAAGTTAATTATATTAAACTAAAACCTGAAACAAACTCAGAATGGAAATAACATAAGTAATCTACAGGTTACCATCTCATTAATATAATTTTCCTAGCAATCAACCAAGATTTAAATGAATGAATACATCAGGGATAATAATACTTCAGAAAACTGAAAATACTACAAGAGATACTACAGTTGTTTATCTGCCTTCATTTGATTTCATAAAGGGCTTTGTAAAACAAAATGTCAAGTCACCAGCCTAATAATTACTTCTATTCTGGGATAAGACAGTGATGTGCTTTTCTGGGTCTTAAATCCTAACTCTGGAAGAATAAGTATTCAATTCAATAAATTTACTAAACGTCGTATTAATAAACACTGTACTGTGTACTGCAGACTGCAAACCTGAAGAGGACACACTTGTGTAAGTAAGTGTAACAAAGTAATATAACAATAAAATCTAGATACGAAATAATGGGAGCACTAAGGAGTGGTCAGTTCGTTCTGGAAAATGAACAAGCTGAGAATAGTTCTTTTTCTTTTTTTTTTTTTTTGCGGTATGCGGGCCTCTCACTGTTGTGGCCTCTCCCGTTGTGGAGCACAGGCTCTGGACGCGCAGGCCCAGCGGCCATGGCTCATGGGCCTAGCCGCTCTGCGGCATGTGGGATCTTCCTGGACCGGGTCACGAACCCGTGTCCCCTGCATCGGCAGGCGGACTCTCAACCACTGAGCCACCAGGGAAGCCCTGAGAACAGTTCTTAATTATAGACCAAGAATGGACTTTGGGCTTCCCTGGTGGCGCAGTGGTTAAGAACCCACCTGCCAATGCAGGGGACATGGGTTCAAGGCCTGGTTCGGGAAGATCCCACATGCTGCGGAGCAACTGAGCCCGTGTGCCATAACCGCTGAGCCTGCGCTCTGGAGTCCGCGAGCCACAACTACCGAAGCCCGCACACCTAGAGCCCGTGCTCCACCACAAGAGAAGCCACCACAATGAGAAGGCCATGCACTGCAATGAAGGGTGGTCCCTGCTCGCCAAAACTAGAGAAAGCACGCACGCAGCAAGAAAGACCCAATGCAACCAAAAATAAATAATAAATTAAAAAAAAAAAAGAATGGATTTTAAGAAGCCTGTGGTGCAACTACTGAAGCCTGCACACCTAGAGCCCATGCTCCGCAACAAGAGAAGAAACCGCAATGAGAAGCCCGCACGTCCAAACTAGAGAAAGCCCACGTGCAGCAACAAAGATCCAATGCAACCAAAAATAAATAAAGTAAAAAAAAAATAAATTAAAAAAAAAAAGCCTGTGGTGTATTGGAGCCAGCTCCTACCAGCACTCCCAAGCAAACTGTGTACATCTCTTCCCAACTCCATGTTTGCAGCTGAAAATGGTCATGCTGAGAGTATTTATATTATGGAAACCAGTAACCACAAATCAAGGCTCTTCCCCTGGACAGTGGATTGTTAAACATTTACCGGCATATCACTGTGTATGTTTAGGTGTATCGTTATGGAATAAGAACCTAGCACTTTCATCAGATTATCAACAGGATATGGAACCCAAAAATAACCAGTTAAGAACTACAAGTCTAAAGGAAGGGAAGTAAAATGGCACTCACCTGAACAAACTGGTAAACAAAGTTTTGTCTATTATAAAAAACACACAAGACAAGGACCCTTCCATTCAAATGGCCCTGCCTAGGTATCTGTATTACTTCCCTAAGCCTTTGAATACGTTTCAAGGTTTGCTCCTATCGCTCCTATGCAGAAGATTTTGAAATTATCTACTTTTCAAAGCAAATTCTAACCTGATATCCCAAGGCTTAAATTTATGTAATAGGATATTTAAATATCCACTGCAAATAAATGTGCATAAGAAACTTAGTATTATGTTGTTTTAGCTCATATGTATTTCTTCCTGTTAAATTTATCATACCCTTACTATAATTAAATATACAATGAGAGCAACTTTTAAAGCAAATCACAATTATAAGATGTCTGCACATCCACAGAATGTCTTAAATATATTTTTACAGTACATGCTTATGGAATTCAAAATGAACTTACCCTGCTGATTGACTATCACCAAGTTTCTATAAATCATTGTATATATTTTCCTTGTAGAGAGAAAAAAAACATGTACATTTTAAAATAAAATGTATTTAACTAGACTTAACAAGACTTTTAAATGCATATTAGTATAAACTATCATGCTACAACCCAAAGTTTAAATCACTACATTCAAGTGCTGATAAGCTTCTAGACACTAAAAACCACCATAATAATTATTTGCACAATGATTACATGCAGCCACGTTTAATAATCACTAAAGTCTCCCTAGTGCAAAGATTTCACATCTCCATTTCCTGAAACATGCCTTGTTGAGACTTTAGCAAAAGTCCCCAGAGAATTGGTGCGAACACACGAGGCAGGTTAACATACGTATTTTCAAACAGAAAAGAATTTATCTAGCTCCGGGCACAGACGAAGACTGCCTAAAAAAATAGCAGGTTATGCAAAACCCATTATATAGGAACTTCATTATAGTTTTTTTGTTTTTTTTTTTTTTTCCGGTATGCGGGCCTCTCACTGCTGTGGCCTCTCCCACCGCGGAGCACCGGACGCGCAGGCTCAGCGGCCATGGCCCACGGGCCCAGCCGCTCCGCAGCGTGTGGGATCCTCCCGGACCAGGGCACGAACCCGTGTCCGCTGCATCGGCAGGCAGACTCCAAACCACTGCGCCACCAGGGAAGCCCTCATTATAGTTTTGACTTTTATCAAGACCAATCATCTAATGGATTTTCTTTCTTGATCTGAAAATTTATTAAAAGACAGAGCAGTATACGGTCATTTAATACAGCCTGAGTACCAGTCACTGTTCTAGAAATCGGGGAAAAGAGAATGAAATAAAAACATATCTCTGCCCTCCTAGAGCATAAGGAAACAATTCACTTATGCCAATACTCAGTGAAGTCATGGTACATTTTTCATCAACTAATGACTTTAGAGAACATTTATTGGTTACAAGATATCATTTCTAACTCTCAAGGTTAAGGGGAAAGTGCCAATCCCAACTAATTTTTTTCATCCTTGGGACTGATGATACAGCTCCTTAAACTCACAAAAAAAATCAATATTCCTACTCGTATCTTTTCCCCAAGTCAGTAGTTTCCCCAGTGTTTAACCTCTCAACACATTAGAATTCAAGTCAAAGATAATTTTAAATTTGTGCTTTCCGTATCAGAAATTACAGCTCCAAACATTATCAAGATTCAATACTCAGATGGTGCAAAATTATCAATATAGTTATTTCTTAAACTTATAAAATTAGAGCTTATATCCCAAGGCCAAGTATAAAATAACATAAATATTAAACAGATATCGCCTGTCAATGGAAAGAAGCTTGTATGTTAATTTAAAAGCAGGATGAAGTTAAATATAGTATGTTCACAACAGGGTTAAAACACATCTGTGCATAATACGTTGTAAAAATGACAAGTAAAAATACTTTTCGATGACAAATTACAGTCTTTTTTCCCCTCTCATTAGCTTTCTGTCTTTTCTTAATATCCAATAATGAATATATACATATAATAATAAAGTTATTTTAAAGTTATAAATATCCCACTTAATTATCTTTTTAGCTACAATATTATTGAGCATTAAACACTAGTTGAATCTAGGTAAATGTTTCAGGTGAAAAGTATTCTTCTCATTAAGATACACTGCAAAGAGACTAACAACATGAAACAAGGAATTCCAAATGTAAAGTAAGAATGACTGAAAAAAAAAAGTTTGAAAAAAAAAGTTCCCGGCAGAGTAATTTTAGAAATGCTATCTGGGTTAAATTCAGTTGATTAAGTGCCATAATGGTATATGACAAAGAAAAAGATCTTCAAAGTAACTAGGGCTCAAATTTAAGCAATTACCACAGGGTATCATAAAGACTGTCTTTGGAAGTGACTGCAATAATAATATTTTTTTAATATGCAGTTACTGTAGCTAATATTTAAATGCTTACACATTGCCTCTTTATAACCTCCACATAAGGTATTTACATTGTTCCTACTTCATATTCAGGGGAAACTTAAGGCTTAAAGAGGGTGAGTCAATTTACCTAGTCTGACAGCTAGTAAATGACTAAGCTGGGTCTCAAACCCAGGCCTGTAAGATTCCAGAACTCAGGTTCTCAAGTAACATGCTATTTTACTAAGAAATTAAATTTCAGCATCTTTTATATATAACAATTTTCTCTGACAAAAGGGAGTGAGGATGGAGGTGAACTGAAATGTTTGCCCAGCTGGCATTTTACAGTAGACTAAAGAACTTACCTGTGCTCTTTCACAGAGAAGCTTGGCACTCCAAATAAATCCCCTAGAAGATCATTTGAACAATACACAATATGCTGTTGTTTCTCATCATATAATCGTTTAGTCATAATATACTGGCCAAGATAAAATATAACCTGAAATAGAAATATGATTTCTGAGCATTAAAGAAAATTAAATGTTTGTTTCAAATACATTCAGTAACATCTCATTTATCTGAAGAGGGTTAAACAACCAGCAACCACATCAATAACCATCTAAATAACAACCATTCTGTACTCCTAAAAAAAATTTTTAAAAACAAGCTGATTTAATATTTTTTTCTTTTAATTTGACTAAAGTAGAGACACTGCTTCTGATTTACTTAAACTTTAAAATGTGTCTTCTCTTTTTTTGGCAGACTTTAACTTTGCCCAAATATCTAGGTACTACTTATTAGGAAGAAAGGAAAAGGCAACAAAATGCAAAACCACTGATCACAATGAAAAGTTGCAGAATCAAAAACATCAACGAAAATATAGCAGTGACCTGGAGTCATTTAGTACAGTCCTGCACACCATATACCTCAACAACCTCTGAGGTCATCACAGATGAGAAGACAATGACGAATTACATCTACAGAAGAGTTTGGGAGAATTCAGTGAATGAAATAAACCCTTAAAGATATCATTATAATCTACACAATAAATAATCAAAATAATGACCCTGAATCATGCACATACAGTTAAATTATATTTTGTGTGCTCCATTAAAACAAAGTAGGCAATACATTTTTAAGACATCCACATACAAACCTATTAACAACCACCTAAACACATATGGTGTTTTACAGTTTACAATGTACTTTTACAAGTACTGTCTCCTTCTGATATTTCATAGAATTGTTATCAGGATATGAGAAATAAGAAACTGACCCGGTCTTCTGACTTCTAGCCCAGTGTGCTTTCTACTACCCCATACTAGCTTTCATTACTCTCCCACATACCACAGAACAAAGATTTTACAACTGAACACTGTGTCAGACAATATATACATCACTGTTACACGGTTTAATATTAGCATTCTAAGTCTTTATGATGACCTTGATCAATTTTCTCCTTATTTCTACCTACTACTAGTCATAGTTTTTTGTTTCCTTAACTGGTTATATAATGATAATATAAGGTTAAACCCAAGTTAACATCCCAAAATCATTTACCTTGACACTTCCCTGCAAGCTCTGTCTATAGACTTAAATGGCTAAGCAGGCTTCAGACTTAAAGGAATATTCCTATGTGACTATGGATGGAAGAGATGGTAGACAGTGGAAAGGAAGAAGGAGGAGAACCTAGACTCTTTCTATCAAACGTCCCATAAGGAAACTTCTGAATGTGGCTAAAAAGGAAAAGGGTCTGGAATCTTTTCTTGCCCACTATGCTGATGTAAGTAAGGTCCTTCAGTGTTTTAAGTAATCTGAGCCCCAAAAACTAAGTGTGAGAGATGGGGAAGAGGCACATTTCATTCACATCGAAATTTTCCCCAAGATGGCCCATCTCTCAATGAAGAACATGCTTCTGTGCACAAATTTAAAGCTAGAGAACAATACATTGAAATGTATCCATTAAATAGAATATATGTTCACAAATCAGCTCACCTCTATCCCAGAAAGATCAGTATACTGTACTCATGTATCTCTAGTGCAGAAGTTCTTAACCTGGGATCCATGAATGCCCAATAAGTCCTTGGATAGAATTCAGGGGGTCCATTAATTTGGATGGGAAAAAAATGTTTGTCTGTATTTTCACTAACTTTTAACTGAAATTTAGCTTGCCCTTCAATTATGAATATAGGCAACAAATCACAAAGTATTAACAATAACTGTGATTTTGTCACCAATAAAATCACAAGCATTTTTCATATCATACATACTATGCTTGATGTAAACGTCTCAAAATATCAGTTATGCTCCTCACTAATTCCAAATTACATTTATTAGATCTGCTGCTAAATCTTAAGACTTTACCAGTGCGTCAAGTGGGTTCACAGCACAAAATGGCTAAGAACCCCTAAAGAGCTTCCTTTGTCCGAGTTCCGGGCTGACAAATGAAATTCGAGTATAAACTGAATTTTCAGCTTCAACTTATAGTCCAAATGACCACTATACTTAACAATCCTGCTTACTGAAAATCCCTTCATATGACCAATTTCTCCCCACGGCTATACGTAACTAGTAAGACATTAAGTTATCTTTTTAACTTAGTTCAGCTTACCTCTTTCATAGTATAGGTGTCCTTCTGTGCACCAACAGACTTCAACAACTTCAAAAGCAATGGCTTTGGTCTAACCTATAAAGAACAGAGTTGCTATTATACTTCCAAATTATTCCGGAACTATAAGCCTGCAGGAAACTCATCCATAAAGAATTTCAATAAAGGTAGCAAACACAATGTTATCTTACAACATTAGAGACCTCAAAAACTAAGTCATAATGTTTTCACTAAATGTAATAAACTATGTAAACTGAATACCACAGACTGTGTTTGGGAAGAAAATGCTGGGATATAATTATTATGCAAATAATCACAGAACCCTCAAGTATCATCAGTTGCCAGTACCCATGCCAGGGCAGTGAAAATTATTCTTTTTCCTCCAGCTATTTCTATCATCTGCTCATTACCTTACAAACTCAACGGTAAATGGAATACCCCAATGAGCTTACTATAAACTAAATTACAAAATACGAGAGAAAAGAGTAAATCTTTATGGTGGGTCCTTTTACCAATCTTTTCTTTCTACAGATTAGGTTCCTGAACGCTGGCGAACTTTAACCCAAGCTGACAAGGATAATTAAGAACAGATCAGGAGACTGAGACTCACATCCCTCAACTGCAAGCCAGCATTTTCTTCCTACTATAGTATCATGCTGCCTTTTAGTTGGTCTACATTCCAAATATCTACTTGACAAACATTTATTGAGCTTCTGCCATGCACCAGACAGCACTGGATATTGCACACACACACAAATGACAAATAAGACATATGACCTGTATTGAAGGAGCCAGCCAACTAGATCAGGGTTTAATTTTTTTCTTTAAAGAGCCAGACAGTAAACAGTTTACAGCTTTTCTCGCCACATAGTATGACTCAGAAGCATAAATTATATGTAAACCAATGGATGTGGCTCCATTTCGGTAAAACTTTATTCACAAAAGTAGGCAGCAGGCCAAATTTGGCCCATAGGCTGTAGTTTGCCTGCCTCTGACCTAGAGGCTTTCCAAGTTGTACTGAGAAAATATCTGGCAAGGGGTCAGGGATGTAATGTGTTTATGCTCTTTCTCCCTATCTGTTGCTGTATCAAAATCTTCAAAACTCAAGTATCTTTACAGCTACACAGCCACCCCTATACAGACTGGTGCCTCTGCACTCCCTTCAATATACTCCCATCCTGTCTAACTTTGAAATCTGACAGCAACCCAGTTCGGGATCTAACCGTCAGAACAAGATTTAAGAAAACTGCCTATTTCCAGCTAATCAACATAATATTAATAACTGAAAGTTTTAAAATACTTGTAGTATTTCAATAAATGTAGTATTGAATCATTAATTGTTCTGATCATATGTTTTTTCCTATGTGCTTACATATGCGCTTTACTTTCAGGCTATTTAAAGAATGAATTATCCCAGAAAACATAAAAAGTTACTTTTTTTCCTTCTAAAATTTTATATATACTATATTAACTTCAAACTACATAAAACAACCCAAAGTCACAGTCACCAATGGAAAGCCATCAGCTTTTTATTAAGACTTAAAAGACATGCATGAATAAGAAAACTACTATAAAAGACAATACCATTATTAATCTTACATTTAAGAACAGAAAGATAAATTCTAGATGTAAAAATAAAAAATGCTAGAAGAAAATACAGCAGTTTATCTGTATAATCTTGGGATGGGAGAGTTCTTCCAAAACATCATATGAAATTTTGAATTTCAGCAAAAGTCAAATTTTACTTTATAAAAATGTTCTCAATGAGAAAAAGAACAAATAAGCAAAGTTAATTTTTAACATTTGTAAATGATAAAAATTATATACACTTGAAACACAGAGAACTATTACAAATTATTAAGAAAAATACAATAAGCCTAAAAGAAAAGTGTATAGATAAGACCAAGCAAACCCCAAAAGAAACAAATGATTTAACCAATGATGTGATGCCCAACCTCACCGAAGATTAGGGAAATACACAATTACACAATAATATAATATCTTTTGCCAAAAAAGGGCAAAATAACAGTGATAATATTCAGTTTTGACAGAGAGGAAAACTATTACACATAACACTTGTGTTAGGATACATATGCAAGGCAGCACCATCTGTAATACTCAAAAACTAAAGGCAATTTTAGAAAACCTATCAGTAAAGGCATAAATTTCTTAAATGGTACACTAATGCTGTGGATTACCATGCAGCTGTTAAAAAAGAATTCTGTAGGTTTTATTGATTGACATAGATGCTATTTGCTTAACATCTCTAGTATAATCCTATTTTAGTAAAACAAACTGAACCGCGACAGATTAAAACTCACATGTGCATATATATATGTGGGTATGCACATAGATAAAGATCTAAAAAGGAGATATGACAGATATGGTCAAAACAGAAGACTGGAATTTTCAGCTTTTACTTTATACTTTTCTGTAATGCCTAACATCTTTACAACAAGCATGAATTATTTCTGACTTCTACAAAAGTTAAATACTGACAGGTCAAAACAGAAAAAAAACAAAAAACAGTCACATAATAAACATAACTTCAGCATCCATACTTAAGAAGATAATGAAACTGACTTTTAATTCAGTGTGGTAAAAAGCTAAGAAAATAAATATTGATTCTTACAGGTAACTTTTGCTCCACAGTTATGCCTGAGTGGCAGGAATTTAAGCTATGTACTACAACTTCACTTAAAGAGCCATGCTATAACTGGGGTCTGTGAAATCTAGTTGATCACCTCATAAAATAAATTTTTGCTAAAGTTACACTGGAGACAAAAATACCAACCAGGGTCTCTTGTTCCGAAGCTGGAATCTGTGAGGTGCTTACAGCACCATCAGTAGACACAGACATGTTGGTATTGCACATTTGCCTACGAGTACGAAAAGAAAACACACGATAAAAACTTGAAATACTGAAATACCCATAAAAAAAAGACAAATCATATAGAAATGAGATAAATAATGCTTTTATTAGCAAGTGGGTCCTTACCTAGATCAGCAGAAAATGCTACAGGTCGGTGACCACAGGTCCTCTCTCTCAAACAGCCAGTGAATACAGCTGGGAAAAGGCATGGTTTAAATAGCCCCAGCTGGAGACAAGTCAGGGCTTAGCTCCTTCTACTACCGACGCGGAACGTGTCCGAACTTGACCAGCCCCACAGGAAAAGCTGAGTCAACCTGCCCCCAGAACCAGCCCAATCTCGCCCAGACGTAGCGCCCGACAGATACAAGCTACCGAACAGGCACCTGTCGTTATTCTGACACCACCCCCGCCCCCGGCAGCGCCCCCCGCGCACTTGACCTTTACCCCCGTGCCCGCGGAACCCCCTCCCAAACCCCCACCCGCTGGGAGCGCGGCCCCGAAAACCCGCCCTCCTCCCGAGTGGCGACAACCTCGCCTCCTTCCGACAAAACCTCCACAGACCCACATGCCCGGCGCCCCCCACCACGAAATGCACAAAGGCTGCGCGCGCGGCACAGGCGGGGGGTGAGAGCGACCGGGGAGACCCAAGTCACAAAGCAAACCCAGAACTGCCCACGCGCTTCCAGGCCGATACCTGCTGCTCACTAATTGGGGTTTGCCGCGCCTGGAGTCGGCGGGGTGGGTGAGGGAGCCGTACCTCGAGGCTCCCTAGTTCCCGTCACGGGGCGCGCGGAAGCCCGACGCCTTGGGCCTCGGCGACCATTCCACTCGCCGGGCCCAGGCCGCCAGGGCGCTCGAACTCACTAGGTCCGAAGGAGGAGGCTCCTAGCGGCAAAAGCGGCAGGACCTCGGTCAGAGGGGTAAGAGCTACCCCTCAGGCTAGGCTTCTTGCTCCATTTTCCTTCCAGTCACACCGGGCCGCACAGGCCCCGAAAGGTGCCGAGCTGGCCGAGGTACGGCGGATGCGCGCCCCCTGCCGTCCGAGCGCAGCGCGCCGGAAGCCGCGGCCCATCCGGGCTTTTGCGCGCGCAAGCCCCGCCGCCCCCGCCCTCTGGGGGCGGGGCTGGGCCCTACAGCCTCGGTGAAGGGGGAGGTCCCGGAACTGGGCAAGCGTCCTCGGCCGGTGGGGAGGGGGCGCTGGGCGCGCATGACCCGCCGGAGTCGGTAGCGGTTTTTCACGGTTGGAGCTGATCCCTGGTTCTTCCCGCCGCCGCCTGGTTTGGTGCGCCAAGCTTGGGACTTCTTTGAACCTTGGCGCTATTTTTGTATTTATGTGTTTGCACCTCCCTACCGCAATGGAAACTCAGGCAAATACGCATCGAAGTGCCGCTACCAAAAAAGAAACCACAATTAACAGCTGTGCGATATATTAAGCCCGCACCGCCAGCAGCTGGAGTTGTTTTTTTTTAAGTATGATTAAAAATAGCACAGTATGGGCTTGTTCAGGGATGCATAGAGTATTCTAGTTGGAGGAATAAAAGGCCGGTGGTTACCGTTAGAGATGGGTGACGTAAAGAACGGTTACTCTTAACTTTATGCTTT